ATGCTGACTACTGTGGGGTCACCCTCTCCCTAAATGTCTACTGTTGGTCGTTGGGTAGGGGCTTCTGGTGTTTTCTTTGGGGTTGTCCTGCTGCATTTTGTCAAAGCCTACAATGTATTGCAATCCCAGCCAGCTCGGGAGCTCTTCAAGCATTTGACTTATGACCTGAGTAGCTGGGCAGGCTGATAAGAATAGAGAAAGCCAGCTGTTTTGCAGGCTAGTAAACTTTCATCTTAGACCAAAGTTCTTTAGTTGGGGTGAGGGCACCTAAGGGTGGGGGGGAAGGGGGGCCAACAAGCAGGCATGTGTGATCCAGGCAGGGGCCTAGTCACCCTGTTTGTTCTGTAGTTTTCTGACCTAAGCCGATCGAAGACACCTTGCCTTGGAAATGGGCCACCGTATACACGATTTCCTTCACTCTGCCTTGGCCTTCTTTGTTCTTCCAGGAGAAGATGCCTTCACGGGTTTGGGGTTTGCACAAATGGATTTTCTAACCAGCTGCTGTGCCTTCCGCGGCTTCCCAGGCACCACGTGGGGTTGTGGACACCAGCAGGTCAGTCCTCTGCAGTCAGAGAAATGGCAAGCACCGCTCAGCGGCTCAGTCCTGGGCACTGGGGCTACATGAGATCCATTCCCGTCAAAAATCCATGGCGGCCATGGAGACTCCGCAAAGGCGCCGAACCTCAAACAGACAAATGTGTGCAAATGTATGCACACTTCCTTCTGTGGCTGGGGCTTTTTCTCCTGTTTAGGGGAACCTTTGTCTACCCCAAGCTTATAACAATATCCCAAGAACGAGGCTTGATCAGACTTCTGTGTACACCAGTCTCACAGACGCCTTCAATAAGCACTTTTAAAATAAAAGTTCTAAGGAAAGCCTTTGTCATGCCCTAATTGACAGGGGTTTTCCTTCAGGACAAGAGGTGCCTGCACCATCCCAAAGCCTTGGGTGCCTTCCAGTGCTGTCAGACTCAAGGTGTCAGCTTGATTCAGGGGAACAAGCTTTCCTCCTCCCCAGATGCCAAGACCCCATACCCACCCACGGCACAGCGGCAGCTCGGATGCAGGCATTCCTGGCTGGGTCTGGCATGAGCTTAAACCAATTGCTGTTAAATCGTCATGAAAAGTCACTCACAAAGTTCTCCTGCATGTAGAGTTGCGGAGTTGCTGGCGGGAAGAGGGTGTTTCACTGGCCGGCTGGCCCTGTTACAACCATACTCCCTCCTCCTTTCTGTTCAGTCTGCTGCCGAGTCAGGGGCCACCCGAGGCCCAGGTGCAGTGGCTGAAGTCCAGCTCCCAGGTCTTGCTCTGAGGCAGGCACAGTCTTGACTGGACTGAGAGAGGCTTTGGGTAGCACATGGCCTTGTTTCTCCAAGGACACCCTAAGGGCTCTCCTCCCACTTGGGCCCCTGGCCAGACCCTCCCTCCTGCCAGGACCACTGCCCCAGGCTGGCCACCTTCACCCGATGGGGAGTCTGCCCCTAGCCCCAGAACTGAGTCCTACCTCCTTCATGCATTAGCTTCAACAACGCCAGGAAGAGATTTGTAATGGGAACAGTATTTTATTTCCTTTTTTTGAAATTATTTCCAGTAAAATGTTAGTAAAAATACGGAGATAATACAACAGATGATATTTAGTAATTTTTTTCTGACTAACCCATTTTAGTTGTTTATATACAAACAATACAGACAAGAAAAATTTAATAAATAGCTGCAGCTTAATACATAACTGAAAGATCAAAACTCAAACAGCAGAGATACCCCAATAATGAAATAAGGAAGTATGTTGAGACTGTAAAATCCTCGACAATGACCCTCCCCGACTGAGCACCCCGAACATGGCCACACTCTCACAGCTGTCTCGGGACCTTCCCAAGGCCGGAGGGTGCCGCCACCCGCCTGGCTGCTGTCACCTGCACCCACAGATGTGCGGCTCACAGCAGGCCTGTCAGCAGCCAGAGACCATAACAAACTGCCAGGAGGAGGCAGCAGACAAGCTGCTCAAATACACAGAATTAATGACGCTAAGAGGCTAAAATAATTATCCTGTTGCCTTTCCTTTTAAAAAAAAAAAAACTCAGGGTTTTACGTAAAATGCCCGTGGGGGTGGTTAGCACACCACTCTTCTGATACAGTTATTTTGACCCGGGAGGGGGTGGGCCTTATCTTCAAGGAAATGCCGGTCGCATCTGCAGTGCAAATACTTCAGACGTCACTGTCTCAGCTTCGCGTGAATGTACAGACCGCTCCAAATCCCCATGAAGTCACTTGCAGTTTTTTCCTGCATACAGACCAGCTCTGGTGTTTTGAGCTGAGGGCAGCATCACGCTGGGCTGCATTTGGCACACGGAAAGAATGGGCCAGCCGAGCAGGTGGCCTCCTGGCTGCTCACAGACTCTGCGCCCGCCAGACGGCCAGAGGGGTTCAGGCGCGACGCTTCCAGAGTTGTCATCTGGAGGGGATTCTTGCCATTTTTTCCATCACTTAAAATAAAACCACTCAGTGGCTTCTCCAGAGCACTCTCTGGTCTATTTAAAAATAGCAACGCAAGTCCCACCTCTTCTTATTTTTAAAGGGAACAGCCAGTGAACACAGTTTTACCTCCCGTGTCTGTCATCACGTTCTTGCCACTTGTTGCCCCAAACCCCAACTAGGTAAAGAGTGAGGGCTGTGCCGCTGTGCCTGGAGTGGGAGGGCAGCCACACAGAGGTGGGGGTCCCTGAGCTCCCCTAGCCCCAGGGAGGATGACCCCCCACCCCGTCCTGAGCGGGGGCTGCCAACAGGACAAAGAGGCCGCTCCGTCAGCCTCTGCAGTTGGCTGTCTCCGAAAGGCCAACCCCAGCCCCAGCTGCAGCTCCCAGGACAGCAGAGGCAGGGACCACTGGACTCCTGAGGCCTGCCTGCTCAGTGAGAGAGGGGACCCTGCCCTCCTAGCAGGGGCCCAGCAGCACCACAGCAAGACCTCTGTGGCCAAGTGCACGCCACACTCAGCTCTGCCCCCCTCCGCACCCCCCGTCCATCCTGCGTGCGGCTGGCTGCCCGGTTCCCACACATGGGAGGTGCACCCAGGACTTATGAGTCTCCACATACAGCAACTCGCACTGAAAACCCACACGCCAAGCAGAAGCCCCTCCAAGTGGGATAGGAGCACGGCCCTCCAATTTATAGAGGAGGCCTGGGTGCTCTCTGAGGAGAGCTGTGGGAACCGGCCCCCCAGAGCTCAGCACAGCCTAGCCCTCCTTCCAGACACAAGGACCCCCATGTCCTTGCAGGGGAGGGTGGGTCAGACCTGCTGCATCTTAAATTAGTTGTTCGACTGGTCGGAAACGCGTGCACTGCCTGGAGCATGACGTCACAGTGCCTGCTTGGCCCCCCCAGAGCTAAAGCCACAGGTGCAATAAGACCCTTTAGTCTGCCGGGCAGACCTGCCCTGGGAAGAGAGACCCCAGCAGCCCCAGCCTCCCTATGGATAGGACGCACTTGCTAAACGCCCACTCAAAGGCCAGGTTGGAAAACACCAAGTCAGAAAACAGAGATGCTAGCAGCAGGCACCAAAGCGCCTTTTCGAACGCTTACGGCTGTTGCAGAAAACTGCTCAGTAGCAAAAGTAGAAAACACCAAGACACCTTCAAAAGGCAGGAATTAACTTTTCACAGGGAGAGCACCACCAAAAGCCAAGTTGTGGGGCCAAAGGGCGATGGGCTGTCCGGTCACTCTGAAGATCTAGCTGCTCTGGGGCCCTTGGGCAGCCGGGCGGCCTCACAGGGTTTTAGAGGCCACCGAGCGGCTGGTGACAAGGAGGTGCATGGCCCCATCATCGAGAAAAAATGTGCTTTAACATAGATGCACTGAGGAGGCTAGGCGTGGTGGCTCATGCCTGTAATCCCAGCACTTTGGGAGGCCAAGGCGGGTGGATTACGAGGTCAAGAGATCGAGACCATCCTGGCCAACATGGTTAAACCCCATCTCTACCAAAAATAAAAAAAATTAAAAAATAAATTAGCTGGGTGTGGTGGCGTGTGCCTATAATCTCAACTACTCAGAAGGCTGAGGCAGAAGAATCGCTTGAACCCGGGAGGCAGAGACTGCAGTGAGTCGAGATCATGCCATTGCATTCCAGCCTGGCGATACAGCAAGACTCCATCTCAAAAAGAAAAAAAAGAAACAGAAAAAAAAAGATGCCCTGAGGAAAAGCCAAATAGTCCAGAGTAGCAACAAAAATCATCTGAAGCAACGTGACGATGGGTGGCTTTAATAGACTTCCTTGCCTCTAGACAGCATTCAAATATTCCAGCCTGAAAATGCACCATCTCAGCACCTGAGCAAGGCAGGAGTTGTGGGCTGTCCCGGGCCGGGGCAGGGAACACTTCTGCGCTGTTCCGGGGGACGGAGGACAGAGAACGAGGCTCTTGGGTCACTAGCACCAGCGGGTGCCTCCAGGGACTGCAGGGAAGGGCGGGTGGGCTCCCGTTCATTCTCCCAGCACCCAGTTTCCGAATGAAGCTTTCTTGGGACCCTGGCTTCCCGGGATCTGTGCTGTCCCTTCCTTCGAACTTAATGTGGACATTTCCCGAGGCTGCTTCCTCCAGATGAGCCGGCTCCAGCCCAGGACCCCAGCGTCCCCGCACCCTCTGGTGAGTGCCACATGGCCCAGCAGCCACACAGTACCCAGCACCTGCACTGGCGTCTGTGGCTGGAGGCAGCTCTGCCCTTTCTTTGAGTCACTGGGCGAAGCAGGGCAGGTGTGCGTCACTTTGGGGCCATGGATGGTGGGTGCCATGTGGCCACATCAGAGCAGGGCATGGCGGGGCTTGGGCAGGGACGGGTGGGAGGCATCCCAAAGTGCCAGCGTCTTGCAGGTTGAGGGGGACACATACACTGTGCCACTGAGGGAGGTGTGAGCTCCTCGTCGCAGGCTGAGAGGGGTGAGTTGGCGCCCTCAGGTGAAGAAGCAAAGAACCCTCAGGGCCTGTGAGGCTGAAGACCCAGACCTCTCACCCCAGCAGCCTTGGGAATCTGTGGGGCGACACGGACCCCACCCACTTGTAGCTCAGTCCTCCCAAGGTCAGCTTGCGAAGAAGGGAAAGAAAATGATGGAAACAGGTGTCTCTGTAGGGGACGCTCCAGAACGAATTTGGAGGCAAGACAATGCCTGAAGGCCCCGATGGGCGGATGCCGAAGTGCTGGGCACCACGGCTTGGACTCGGGCCTCACTTTGGGAGCTCAAAGGTGTCACTGGCCCTGAGGCTCATTGGTCTGAAGGACAAATCGAAGGCCCTCTGGTCACTGAAGCTTTGGGCTTTGTACTTGGCCAGACGCGTGGACCTCTTGAGACATTCAGGCTCTGATGCCTCCATTGCGTCCTGCAGGTCCCTCTTCGCCCTGGGGTGGCCTGAGGGCCCCTCCTGGGTCGGGGCCTGGGGAGTTCCCCAGCTCCCAGCCTCAGGCGTGTGCTCAGCTGGGCTCTTTCTCAGGCCCAGGGGAGAGGTGGCAATGCTCTTGCCCCCGAGGGGGTGGCTTCTTGGGGGTGGGTGCTGGGCACCAGGCTCCCCCAGTCCACTGCCCCTCCACTGTCCATTGTCCCTGGGGGCTGGGCTTCCAGACCCTCCACTCCTTCCAGCAGTGGCCACTAGCTCAGCTGTGCCACTAACGGGCTGCTCCCAGGCCCAAGGCACCATCCCACAGGCCAAGGCCTGTCCCTGGGCCTCTCTCTGGATCTGCCCCTGGGGCTGTCCCGGGGCCTCTCTCTGGATCTGCCCCTGGGGCTGTCCCGGGGCCTCTCTCT